GCTGTAGAAACATGAAGAGGTAGGAACAGTGTCTGCAGCCTGACTGCTCATCACTGCTTTTGTTACCCGTTGAAGTTCAGGGGCTGGCTGCTGCTCTAACATCACTTTGTTCTTTTGACTAGCTTAGCATTAGCATGCTGTCTGTGTAAGTGGTTGCAAAGAGCTGAAGTTGTGTTAGCAACACATCATGCTCTTGTCCTCTTGAGTAACATTTCCACCCTGTAGACTGTCGTACTATATGCACAACTACAGACAAACTAAAAAAAAATCTAGCACAAGTGCAAATGGAGCTGATGAGAGAGCTCGATAGCCGGGCAGACTAACAGATCGCAGAAATTGAACTAGAAGAGAAGCAGTTCTTGTAGAGAACCTGTACAGTAAAACCAAAGAAAAGAAAAGAAAAGAAAAGAAAATCTTAATGCTATGATTCTTTTCCAACTAAAAGATTTTCTGCCAATTTAACGTTGCACAGCACAGGAAATAAAGGGGATTTTTTCAAACATTTAAGAGATTTATGGAATTAAATTTATGTCACAAGTTGTACACGAAACGGGCACAGGTTTTTGCCACTTCCCTCGACTTTGGAATTATCTATAATTCCACAGGCATTCTTAATCATTATCCATGGGACACCTATAAAATTCTATAATCCACGGTCTTGTTACTACCTTCTCCAGGAAGAGATGTTTGTAGGTCTCCATGCCCATAGCGTGCTGGTCTTTGCTGCGGACCTGGTTGAGGAACCAGTGCAACGCATCATCGTAACATTCAGCGTCCTCCACCAGACAGTGCCACAGAATGTCCACTTGCTCCAGACTCAGTCCTGACAAATCCAAACACCAAAATAGAGTTCAGCAATGTCAAACGCAGACCGGGTTCATATAACACAGACCACTTTTCCCCCGTCTTTGGGCTTTTGGCCATGATTATCTGCTTATGTTGCACATCCATACATAAGAGGCTAAGACCGAAAGGGGATTAAAAGGTAAGAGACACATTTTCTTTTATTACACGTAAACACGCTAAAAGGTGGATAATTTTAGAGATCCCCAATTTAAAATGAAAGAACCCAAAAAGAAAGGCTCAGAAATCAAGACTGAAATGCAAAGTGCTAAAGACCACGAAACTTTAAGAAAACACTTCACTCCTTTAATTTTTTTTTCCTCTTTTGGGGTGTAAAATATTCCTCAAGTGAATAGCCTCTGATCCCTGGTGTGGAAACACAGCAGAGATCAGGGTTATGTTATGAAAACCACAGCTGTTATTTACTAAAGCATAATATAGACACCTCTACCTCTGTGCAACTCTCTGGAGAGGTGCAGGTCTTTTAAAAACATCTTAGTTCACAGAGATTACTCTAGTACATAAATGGTATAGGAATCTTACTGAAGTGGTCGGGAGATCCCAGTGTGGAAAAGACACAGGTAAGGAACTGCAGACGGACCTGGACCTCTGCACTGTGACTGTACCTACACAACACACAGACCAGTTATGTGTCAACGGTGAAGAAAGTGATCTGATGTCTGAAGATCACAGTTTGCAGAAGCTTCTAACTGCTCTCTCAGAAGTATTGACACCAAGCACAATTCTGCTAACGCAGTCTTTGAGATGCACGTGTAAATAATTTAAATGAACAGTGGCTGCTATCATGGGCACTCCAGAAATATCACACTAGTGGGCAATTACAATGTCATTAAAGGTTAAAGCAGGTTAAATAACTGCACACAAGGGAACATTAAGCAACGCAATCAAATGGAACTAAAGAGGTGTTGTGCAGATAATGTGAAGATAAAAATGAATTTGCTG